GCGAACGCACCCGCGGAGCCTGGAAAAATAAAGGAGCTTTACTCTTGGCCCAGTTGTCCCAGTTTGAGCCCCGCTGGGTGCTGGGTGCTGGGGGCAGGGAGGGGGTGTCCTAGCTGATGATTTCGGAGAGCAGCGGCGTCATGGAGGACAGGTCCTGGATGTGCAGGATCTGCCGCATGTTCTCCACCTTCAGCGTCTGCAGCTCCGTCAGCAGCAGCAGCAGCTTCGCGTAGAGGAACCTGGGGGGGACATTTGGACGTGGTGGTCGTCCTGGGGGTTGGGGGGACCCCTCCCCAGTGGCACGTACCTGCCCTCGGGCATGGGGTGCTGGTGGTCGATGTAGCTCTTGAGCGTCAGGGCCACCTTCTCCTGGAAACGGTCGACGAAATCGCGCTGGGCGGCGCTGGTGTGGCCTGGGGGGGACACACAGACGATGGAGGGAGTGGAGCATCTCCCTGCTGAGGAGCGGCTGAGGGAGCTGGGGCTCTTTAGTTTGCAGAAGAGGAGACTGAGGGGAGACCTCATTCATGGTTAGAAATATTTAAAGGGTGAGTGTCACGAGGATGGAGCCAGGCTCTTCTGGGGGACAAACAATGATAGGACAAGGGGTAACGGACACAAACTGGAACACAGGAGGTTCCACTTCAATTGGAGAAGAAACTTCTTCTCAGTGAGGGTGACAGAGCCCTGGCCCAGGCTGCCCAGAGAGGTTGTGGAGTCTCCTTCTCTGCAGACATTCAAAACCCGCCTGGACGCCTTCCTGTGTAACCTCATCTGGGTGTTCCTGCTCCGGCAGGGGGATTGGACTGGATGAGCTTTGGAGGTCCCTTCCAATCCCTCACGTTCTGGGATTCTGTGACACACACGTGTGGTGAAACGGGACGGGAACATCAGCGGGACACCCCGGCCGCTGTCCCCACCTGGCGAGAAGAGCAGCATGGTCTGGAGCAGGATGTACTCGGCCTCGTGGAGCTGCAGCTTCTTGAGGTTGATGTGGAATTTGAGCATCAGCTCCAGGTAAATCTGCTGGAAGCCAGCTGCGGGGACACCACAGCGGTGACGGGGGTCACATGAAGTGGCTTTGTCCCCTCTCTCAGCATCACCGTCCCCGCTGCTCACCCAAAGCCCCGTCCTGGATGGTGTAGCAGTGCTGCCCGC